AACACTCTCCCCTTGACCACAGAGTGACACTAACACTCTCCCTTGACCACAAGTGGGCACTAACACTCTCCTTGACCACAGAAATTGACATAACACTTTCTCCCTTGACCACAGAGTGACACTAACACTCTTCACCCGACCTGAAGTGACACTGCCTCTTCCTTGACCACGGTGACGCTAACACCCTCCCTTGACCTGAAGTGACACTAACACTCTCCCTTGACCTGAGTGACGCATAACACTCTTCGCCCGACCGCAGTGGCACTAACACTCTCCCCTTGACCACAGAGTGACACTAACACTCTTCGCCAGGCCACAGAGTGACACTAACACCCTCCCCTTGACCACAGAGTGACACTAACACCTCGCCGGCCACAGGTAGCACTAACACTCTCCCTTGACCGCAGAGTGACACCGCTTTCGCCAGCCACAGGTGCTTTCGCTTACTCCCTTGACCACAGAGTGACACTAACACCCTCCCGCCAGCCTGAGTGACACTAACACTCTCCCTTTACCTGAGTGACTGCACCTCCCTTGACCACAGAGTGACACTAACACTCTTCCTTGACCTGAGAGTGACACTAACACTGCTTCCTTGACCTGAAGTGTTTAACCTCTCCTTAGGTTTTTAACACTCTTCCTTGACCTGAAGTGACTAACACTCTTCCTTGACCACAAGTGACACTAACACTCTCCCTTGACCACAGGTAGCACTAACACTCTTCATGTGACCTGAGTGACACTAACACCCTCCCTTGACCACAGAGTGACACTAACACCCTCCCTTGACCACAGAGTAGGCACTAACACTCTCCTTGACCTGAGAGTGACACTAACACCACTCACGCCAGGCCTGGGTGACACTAACACTCTCCCGCCAGCCTGAAGTGGCCACCCCTAACACTCTCCCTTGACCACAGAGTGGCCACTAACACCCTCCCCTTATCCAGTACAGAGTGACACTAACACTCTCCCTTGACCTGAGGCAGCACTAACCTCTCCCTTGACCACCAAGAGTGACACTTGCTAACACCCTCCCTTGACCTGAGTGACACCTTTAACACTCTCCTTGACCTGAGTGACGCTAACACCACTCCCTTGACCACAGAGTGACACTAACACCCTCCCCTTGACATGCAGTGACACTAACACCCTCCTTGACTTTACAAGAGTGACACTAACACTTCCCTTGACCACAGAGTGACACTAACACCCTCCCTTGACCACAGAGTGACACTAACACTCTCCCGCCGAGCCACAAGTGAGCACTAACACCCTCCACTTGACCACAGAAATTGAAGCACTAACACCCTCCCTTGACCACAGAGTGACACTAACACTCTCGCCCGACCACAAGTGACACTAACACCACTCCCCTTGACCTGCAGAGTGACACTAACACCCTCCCTTGACCACAGAGTGGCCACTATGCCCTCCCTTGACCACAAGTGACACTTGCTGCCACTCCCTTGACCACAGAGTGACACTAGCACCTCCCTTGACCACAGAGCACTAACCTCCCTTGACCTGAAGTGACACTAACGCTCTCCTTGACCTGAGTGACACTAACACCACTCACTTGACCACAGAGTGAGCACTGCTTTTCCATGCAAGGTGACACTAACACCCTCCCTTGACCACAGAGTGACTAACACCTCCCTTGACCTGAAGTGAGCACTAACACCCTCATGACCACAGAGTGACACTAACACTCTCCTTGACCACCAGAGTGACACACTAACACCTCCCTTGACCACAGGTGACACTAACACCACTCCGCCGACCACAGAGTGACACTAACACCCTCCCTTGACCACAGAAGTGACACTAACACTCTCCCTTGACCACAAGTGACACTAACACTCTCCCTTGATTACAGAGTGACACTAACACCCTCCCTTGACCACAGAGTGACACTAACACCCTCCCTTGACCACAGAGTGACACTAACACTCTCCCTTGACCACAGAGTGACACTAACACTCTCCCTTGACCACAGAGTGACACTAACACCCTCCCTTGACCACAGAGTGACACTAACACTCTCCCTTGACCACAGAGTGACACTAACACCCTCCCTTCACCACAGAGTGACACTAACACCACTCCTTGACCACAGAGTGGCACTAACACCAGCCACAAGTGACACTAACACTCTGCACAGAGTGACACCTAACACCCACTCCTTGACCACAAGTGACACTATGCCTCCTTCCATCACAGAGTGACTTCATTCACCCTCCCTTGACCACAGTGACACGCACCCTCGCCAGGCCACAGAGTGGCACTAACACTCTCCCTTGATACAGAGTGACACTAACACCACTCCCTTGATACAGAGTTACACTAACACTCTCCCTTGACCACAAGTGACACTAACACTCTCCCTTGACCACAGAGTGACACTAACACTCTCCCTGGCTTCTGAAGTGACGCTAACACTCTCCCTTGACCACAGAGTGGCACTAACACTCTCCTTGACCTGAAGTGACACTCAACACCCTCCCTTGACCACAGGTGACACTAACACTCTCCTTGACCACAGAGTGACACTAACACTCTCCTTGACCACAGAGTGACACTAACACTCTCCCTTGGCCACAGAGTGACACTAACACCACTCCCTTGACCACAAGTGACACTAACCTCCCTTGACTACAGAGTAGCCTAACACTCTCCACTTGACCTGAGTGACACTAACACTCTCCTGACCTGCCAAGTGACACTAACACTCTCCCTTGACCCACAAGTGGCCACTAACACCCTCCCCTTGACCACAGAGTGACACTAACACTCTTCATGACCTGAGAGTGACACTAACACTCCCTTGACCACAGAGTGACACTATCACCCCTCCCTTGACCACAGAGTGACACTAACACCCTCCTTGACCACAGAGTGACACCTAACACCCTCCCGCCAGGCCACAGAGTGACACTAACACTCTCCCTTAGCCACAGGTGACATAACACCTCGCCAGGCCACAGAGTGACACTGCTTCCTCCTTGACACAGAGTGACACTTACTCTCCCTTGACCACAGAGTAGCCACTAACACTCTCCCTTGACCCACAGAGTGACACTAACACCCTCCCTTGACCACAGAGTAGCCTTGCACTCTCCACTTGACCTGAAGTGACACTAACACCCTCCCTTCACCACAGGTAACACTAACACCTCCCTTGACCACAGAGTGACACTAACGCACACCCTCCCTTGACCTGGAGTGACACTAACACTCTCCCTTGACCTGAGTGGCCTTACTCTCCATGTCTCTCCACTTGGCTGAAGAGTGACACTAACACTTTCTCTCCTTGACCACAGGTGTTTCTGCCCTCCATAGGCCACAGAGTGACTGCTCTCCCTTGACCACAGAAGTGACACTCGCACCTCCCTTGACCACAGAGTGACACGAGAACACCCTCCCTTGACCACAGAGTGACACTAACACCTCTCTTGACCACAGAGTGGCACTAACACTCTCCCTTGACCTGAGTGACACCTAACACCCTCCCTTGACCACAGAGTGACACTAACACTCTCCCTTGACCACAGAGTGAGCACTAACCTCTTATACATGGCCTGAGTGACACTAACACTCTCCCTTGACACAGAGTGATTTTAACACTCTCCCTTGACCCAAGTGGCACTAACACTCTCCCTTGCCAGCCACAGAAGTGACACTAACACCCTCCCGCCGACCACAGAGTGACACTAACACTCTCCCTTGACCACAGAGTGACACTAACGCTCTCCTTGACCTGAGTGACACTAACACTCTCCCTTGACCTGAGAGTGACACTAACACCCTCCCTTGACCTGAAGTGGCGCAACGCCCTCCCTTGACCGCAGGTATTTTCCCCGCTTCTCGCCGGCCTGAAGTGACACTAACACTCTCCCTTGACCACAGAGTGTACTAACACTCTCCGCCAGGCACGGGTAACCTAACACCTCTGTTGCAGGTGGCACTAACTGCGCTTCGCCCGACCTGGTGGCTGGCCGCCACCGGCTGAAGTGACACTAACACCTCCTTGACCACAGAAGTGACACTAACACCCACTCGCCTGACCACAGTGGCACTAACACGCACCTCCACCAGGCACAGAGTGACACTAACACTCTACGCCTGACCGCAGAGTGACACTAACACCCTCCCGCCCGACCACAGGTGACACTAACACCTCCACGCTGACCTGGAGTGACACTAACGCACTCTCCCTTGACCTGAATGACACTAACACTCTCCCTTGACACAGAGTGACACTAACACCCTCCCTTGACCACAGAGAGTGACACTAACGCTCGCCCGACCACAGAGTAGCACTAACACCGCCTCCCTTGACCACAGGTGACACTAACACTCCTTGCCCTCAGGCCCTCAAGTGCCTCACCTCCTTGCCCTCAGAGTGTAAGTTGCGGGGATGCAGTGAGTGTTCCACCCGGCATTACTGCTCGGTGTGTAAGGTTGGCCTTGTGCGTCATGCTGGCCGCTGTCGCAAGAGATGCCCCATGACACCCTGCTGAGTGCCCGCACCCCGGCCTGTCTCCCGCCCCACCCCGGCACCAGGTGAGGTCATGTCAGGTCACAAACAAATTTTCAGGTCATTCCTTCTGCAGGTAAGGACAAGTGACGCCATCAACATGTTTTCAGTTCATGTCTGGTTTAGGTTCGAACATGTATGAACGAAAGATTTCAGGACATCTGTTTGTCAAATGACGTCACGTTAGAGTCAAATAAAAGGTTGGTGAGTCAGGGAATACAACGAATGACGTCACCAATGGTATCCAAGGCCATGTTTAAGAAGGTAAGATCACTCCAGTTGCTTCAGGTCAGGTCAGGTCGTTATTGTAAGTATGTAAACATTATAAGTCAATTTTAGAAAGAATATATAAATCTCTCTCTCTCTCTCTCTCTCTCTCTCCCCTCTCTCTCTCTCTCTCTCTCTCTCTCTCTCTCTCTCTCTCTCTCACACCTACCATCAACCTCCACTACCACCACTAGCCTACAACTACCACACTACCAGTGACCAGACCACCACCAACTTACCACTACCACCAGCCTACCACACTACCACTACCACACAACCATTACCACACTACCACCACTAAATCCTAACCCTACAACACTACCACCACCAGCCTACCACACTAACACTACCACACAACCATTACCACACTACCACTACCAGCCTAACCCTACCACACTACCACTACCACAGCACCACCACCCTACTACCACCAATACTACTACCAGCCGACCAACATACCATTAGCACCACCCTACTACCTACCACCACCACTACAAGTCTACCACCATCACCGCTACCACCACCCTACCACCTCCATCACCCTACCTCCACCACCACCACCACTACCACCATTACCACCACTCTATCATTACCATCAGAACCACCACCATACAAGGATGTTCACTGTGTTTTAGGGATTTTTAAGCTGATTTGGATTTATAAGCTGATTTAGGGATTTTAAAGGATTATGAATTTTATAAGCCGATTTAGGGATTTTAAAGTTGATTTAGGGATTTTCATGCTTATTTGGGGATTTTATAAACTGATTTAGGGATTTTTAAGCTGATTTGGGGATTTTAAGAGCTGATTTAGGGATTTTCAAGCTGAAATTTCAAGCTGATTTGGGGATTTTATAAGCTGATTTAGGGATTTTCATGATGATTTTGGTATTTGATAAGCTTATTTAGGATTTTTCAAGCTGATTCTGGGATTTTCAAGCTGATTTTGGGATATTATAAGCTGATTTAGGGACTTTATAAGCTGATTTTGGGATTTTATAAGCTGATTTAGGGATTTTCAAGCTGATTTGGGGGATTTTCAAGCTCAACAAAACGAGAAAGAGAGACGGGATAACATAAGTAGACCGAAGGGACCTGACCAACCATCAGCTGGTAGTCACAGGAAGAACCCATATGTAAGGCGTAGCCCGTCATTTACCCCGAGTTAATGACACATTTAAGGAAGGTTTCGAGCGGTGGTTGGCCGAGAGAAGGAAGGGAAAGGTGGATGGAAGGGTGTAGCAGGGAGGGACATACCTTAAAAAAAGATAATGAAACAAAACCCAGGGAGTGAAGCCATAACACCGGGCTCACAAATCATTGATCAAACGGTAAGATAAGATTCATGATGAACCCGCCAGATGGAACTGTTCCCTTTGGCCCCTCCTCCTCCTCTACCTCCTCCTAGGTGTTCGCTGGGGTAACCACGAACTAATTTTGGTTAAAGAAAGGAAACTAATATGTAGAGACAAACAGAGAGAGAGAGAGAGAGAGAGAGAGAGAGAGAGAGAGAGAGAGAGAGAGAGAGAGAGTCCATATCCAAAAATGAATGCTCATTGTTTCCCTTTGTCTACGAGCCTAAAATAATTTGTGTATATATGCAAAATAAACATTCTCACCTTTAATTGGCGGAATAAAGACGCTGAAATAACAAATATAAATACGAATTAAAGAAAGAGTAAAGAGTAAACTGACCAAATCAAATCAAGTTACTATACCCCATCGTAATCCCCCTTTGAGTAAATATCCAGGATTCTCATTGGTAGATTTCTTTATCATAAGCCCTCGATAAATACTCAATCTGCTTATCACCTCAATTTATCTTGTGTGTTTTTTTCAATCAATATTATTTACTATTTCTTCGATTCTTCTATATTCCTACGTTAAATTTTCCACCATCACCGCCAGTCATACCACCGAACGTTTAGTTGACATCAATATATCGAAAGGAAAAAAAAAAGAATGTAACTCCTTTTAGGTATATCAAGAATTTTTTGTACCAATAGAAGATAAATTAATGAATTATTAAGGAAACTTTGTGAGGTGACGTAAGGAAGCATGACTGTAGGAATTATAGAGGATTATAGTGCAGTAAGGAACCATGACTGTAGGAATTATAGAGGATTATAGTGTAGTAAGGAACCATGACTGTAGGAATTATAGAGGATTATAGTGTAGTAAGGAACCATGACTGTAGGAATTATAGAGGATTATAGTGTAGTAAGGAACCATGACTGTAGGAATTATAGAGGATTATAGTGTAGTAGGGAAGCATGACTGTAGGAATTATAGAGGATTATAGTGTAGTAGGGAAGCATGACTAGGAATTATAGAGGATTATAGTATAGTAAGGAAGCATGACTGTAGGAATTATAGAGGATTATAGTATAGTAAGGAAGCATGACTGTAGGAATTATAGAGGATTATAGTGTAGTAGGGAAGCATGACTGTAGGAATAATAGAGGATTATAGTGTAGTAGGGAAGCATGACTGTAGGAATTATAGAGGATTATAGTGTAGTAGGGAAGCATGACTGTAGGAATAATAGAGGATTATAGTGTAGTAGGGAAGCATGACTGTAGGAATTATAGAGGATTAGGAAAGATAAGGAAGTGATGACTGTAGGAATTATAGAGGATTATAGTGTAGTAGGAAGCATGACTGTAGGAATTATAGAAAAGATTATAGTGTAGTAGGAAGCATGACTGTAGGAATTATAGAGGATTATAGTGTAGTAAGGGAAGCATGACTAGGAATTATAGAGGATTATAGTGTAGTAAGGAAGCATGACTGTAGGAATTATAGAGGATTATAGTGTAGTAGGGAAGCATGACTGTAGGAATTATAGAGGATTATAGTGTAGTAGGGAAATACGACTGTAGGAATTATAGAGGATTATAGTGTAGTAGGGAAGCTATGACTGCAGGGAATAATAGGAGGATTATAGTGGTAAGGAAGCATGACTGTAGGAATTATAGAGGATTATAGTGTAGTAAGGAAGCATGACTGAAGGAATAATAGAGGATTATAGTGTCGTAAGGAAGCATGACTGTAGGAATTATAGAGGATTATAGTGTAGTAAGGAAGCATGACTGTAGGAATAATAGAGGATTATAGTGTAGTAAGGAAGCATGACTGTAGGAATTATAGAGGATTATAGTGTAGTAGGGAAGCATGACTGTAGGAATTATAGAGGATTATAGTGTAGTAAGGAAGCATGACTGAAGGAATAATAGAGGATTATAGTGTAGTAGGGAAGCATGACTGTAGGAATTATAGAGGATTATAGTGTAGTAGGGAAGCATGACTGTAGGAATTATAGAGGATTATAGTGTAGTAGGGAAGCATGACTGAAGGAATTATAGAGGATTATAGTGTAGTAGGGAAGCATGACTGTAGGAATTATAGAGGGTTATAGTGTAGTAGGGAAGCATGAATTTTGCAGGGAATAATAGAGGATTATAGTGTGTAGGGAAGCAAAGGACTGTAGGAATATAGAGGATTACATGTGTGTAGTAGGGAAGCATGACTGTAGGAATAATAGAGGATTATAGTAGTAAGGAAGCATGACTGTAGGAATAATAGAGGATTATAGTGTAGTAAGGAAGCACTGTAGGAATTATAGAGGATTATGTAGTAGGAAGCATGATCAGGAATAATAGGAGGATTATAGTGTAAAGTGGAAGCATGACTGTAGGAATACGAGGATTATAGTGTAGTAAGGAAGCATGGACTGTAGGAATTATAGAGGATTATAGTGTAGTATGAAGCATGACTGTAGGAATAATAGAGCATTATAGTGTAGTAAGGAAGGACTGTAGGAATAATAGAGGATTATAGTGTAGTAAGGAAGCAAGTGACTGTAGGAATAATAGGAGGATTATGTAGTAGGGAAGCACACTGTAGGAATAATAGAGTGATTATAGTGTAGTAGGGAAGTATGACCAGGAATAATAGAGTGATTATAGTGTAGTAAGGAAGCATGACTGTAGGAATAATAGAGATTGTGTGTGTAGTAAGGCCATGACTGTAGGAATAATAGAGGATTATAGTGTAGTAGGGAAGCATGACTGTAGGAATAATAGAGGATTATAGTGTAGTAGGGAAGCATGACTGTAGGAATTATAGAGGATTATAGTGTAGTAGGGAAGCATGACTGTAGGAATAATAGAGGATTATAGTGTAGTAAGGAAGCATGACTGAAGGAATAATAGAGGATTATAGTGTCGTAAGGAAGCATGACTGTAGGAATTATAGAGGATTATAGTGTAGTAAGGAAGCATGACTGTAGGAATAATAGAGGATTATAGTGTAGTAAGGAAGCATGACTGTAGGAATTATAGAGGATTATAGTGTAGTAGGGAAGCATGACTGTAGGAATTATAGAGGATTATAGTGTAGTAGGGAAGCATGACTGTAGGAATTATAGAGGATTATAGTGTAGTAAGGAAGCATGACTGAAGGAATAATAGAGGATTATAGTGTAGTAGGGAAGCATGACTGTAGGAATTATAGAGGATTATAGTGTAGTAGGGAAGCATGACTGTAGGAATTATAGAGGATTATAGTGTAGTAGGGAAGCATGACTGTAGGAATTATAGAGGATTATAGTATAGTAAGGAAGCATGACTGTAGGAATTATAGAGGATTATAGTGTAGTAAGGAAGCATGACTGTAGGAATTATAGAGGATTATAGTGTAGTAGGGAAGCATGACTGTAGGAATTATA